GTTAAGTGCTATGAAGAAAACTGGGAAAAGGAATACAGAGGAATAGTGGGAGGTACTACTTGTTATTTTAGCAGCTTTATTGAGCTATAACTCAAATACCATACAATTCACCCACTTAAAGAATACAATGGCTTTTAGTATATTCAGAGTTGTACAACCATTACCACAGTCAATTTTAGAATATTTTCATCACTCCATAAAAAAGGAAATCACACCCCATTTCTCCCTCCCCTCAGCCTCTGGCAACCTCTAATCTACTTTCTCTTTGGATTTGTCTATTTTAGACCATTCATTTAAATGGAATCATACAATATGTGGTCCTTCGTGACTGGCTTCTTTCACTTAGCATAGTATTTCCAGGGTTCATCCATGTTGTAGCAGGTATCAGTACTTCATTCCTTTTAATTGCCAAATAATATATCATTGTATAGCTATACAATATTGTTTATCCATTCATTTGTTGATGGACATATGGGTTTTCACTTTTTGACTATTACAAATAATGCTGCTATGAATATTCACGTACAAGTTTTTGTGTGGACATAACTTTCATTTCTTTTGTGTATATAACGAGGACTGGAAATGCTGGGTTGTATGATAACCCTTTGTTTAGCCTTTTGAGGAACTACCACACTGTTTTCCAAAACAACCACACTATTTTAAATTCCCACCAGAAGTGTAACAAGGTTCCATTTCTCCACGTCCTTACCAACACTTGTTATATTTGTCTTTTTCATGATAGCCATCCTAGTGGTTGTGAAGTGATATCTCCTTGTGGTTTTGATTTTGCATTTCCCTGATGGTTAATGATGTTGAGCATCTTTCCATGTACTTTTCTGCCCATTTGTTTACCTTCTTTCAAGAAGCCTTTTCGGATCTTTGCCCTTTTAAAAGTTGAGTTGTCTTTTTATTGTTGAGTTGTAAGAGCTCTTTATATATTCTAGATACAATTCCCTTATTGGACAGATAATTGGCAAAAATTTTCTCCCACTTTGTGGTTTGTCTCTTCACTTTCTTTATGGTGTCCTTTGAAGGACAAAAGTTTTCAATTTTTGTCAATTTTCAATTTCGATGATCTCATTTTCTTTTGTTACTTTCTTTTGTACCTGCATTGGGGTGCAGGTACCCCTTTGGATCACTATGTTTATATCTTTTGGGTAAATATTTTGGTATCATCTCTAAGAAACCTAATTCAAGATAATGAAGATTTATCCCTATGCTTTCTTTTAAAAGCTTTATAATTTTTAGCTCTTACATTTGGGTCTTTGATCCATTTTGAGTTAGCTTTTATATATGATATGAAATAGGGGTCCAACTGCATTCATTTGCATGTGGATATCCAGTTGTCCCAGCACCATTTGTTGAAGACTATTCTTTCCCCATTGAACTTTCTTGGTACCCTTGTCAAAATTCAATTGAACATAAAAATGAAGGTTTATTTCTGGACTCTTCAATTTTATTCAATTCTGGGAGATACTACTAGATAGAGGGTGGTAAGGAAAGGTTTCTCTGAGTTGATATTTAAGTAGAGTCCTGAATGAAGGAGGAAGTGAAGCACACTGATATCTGGGGGAAAAGCATTCCAGGTAAAAAAAATCCTGAGGTGGGAATGTCCTTGTTGTGTTTGAAGAATGGCGAGGAGGCCAGTGTAGTTGGAGGGAAGTGAGATGAAGTAAAAGAGGTAAGAGTTGGTGGATCAGGTAGAACCATGATAAGGGTTTTGCCTTTTCCTCTATGTGAGATGGGAAGCCTCTGGAGGCTTTTGAGTAGAGGAGTCATGATTTGACTTATTCTAAAAGATTTTGGCTGGCTGGTGTGTGAAAATAGACTATAGGAGAGAGATTATAAGAGTGACTACTTGGAAGGTTATGGCAATAATTGAGGCAAGAGGGGACAATCAAAGTAGGGCTTAGTGGTAGAGGAGGTGAGAAATGGTAGGATGCTAGATATTTTCTTAAGGTATGGATGTGAGAAGTGAAGGACAACAGTTTTTTTGGCCTGAACTAGAATGATCAAGTTATGACTTATTAACACGTAGAAGATTATAGGAGTAAGTTTGGAGATCTATGTGGGGGAATCAGAAACTGGATTTTCAGCATGTTAAGTCTAAGGTATCTACTAGATAATGAAATATGGATAGGAAATTTGATATGCACATCTAGATTTAGGGGAGAGATCTGTTGTCAGTGTTGAAGCCTTGAGAGACTAAACTTTTCTTTCAATCCCATTACACGACTGAGTTTACAGCTATCTAAAACTTTTTAGTCTTTTACACATACACCATTAAGCCATACCATTCCCTGGCTGTTTAATAGTCTGATGCCAGCACTGAAGTAATCCCAGCTCCAATCGTATAAATTAAGTTGCTGCGGTTATAATGCAAGTTGTTCTTGGGAGTGGGTGGGCAATCTGCCGTGAGGTGAACATTACCTATCCCGGCCTCTTGCCTCTGGTACCCGCTCCATGCCTTTAGCTGAGTGTCATGAGGCTTGAAGTGTTTACTTTGAAAAAATCAGAGTGTTCAAATAAGGCCTACTATCATGTCCAAGAATGGCACAGGTGCACAAATTATCCACTGGGGAGGTAGTGATAAAAAATAGCAATACAGGACTCTTTCAGTGCTCTGTAATTGGAATGAGTTGTTTAAATCTTTTAATGAGGATCCATTAATTTGGGGAATGTATACACACCCAATTTTTCATATTTTTCTATTGAATTCAATCCTGAAAAAACTTGGCCTATTCAGTCTTCTAAGTTATTTTTGAATCCTTTCATTTCCTCCAACATTCAACAATCCTCTTAATTTAATCCACAATTATGCATGCTTTCTAATATCTTCATCTCATTAATAAATATAATTAAGAAGGTTAATTCTGGGCAGAGTTCTATGACACACCTTCAAAGTATTCCCTGAAGTTTGACACTAATCCATTAATTGGCTCTTTTGGCCTATCATCATTTAACTGGATAGGACTTCATTTAATTATAGCATTATCTAATTCACATTTACCAAACTTTACTGAACCAGTACTGGCTTACAATGATCACTGCTTTCCATTAATTTTCTACTCTAGAATATTTCTTTAGTTTGAAACATTAACTCTTTTCTTTATTGAAAACCAGAACATTAGATAAAATAACCCATTTTTGTTTTTTTATCTTTAAATTTTATTTAAATTCAATTAATTGACATATAGTGTATTATTAGTTTTCAGAGGTAGAGTTCAGTGATTCATCAGTCATATATAACACCCAGGGCTCATTACATCATGTGCCCTCCTTAATGCCCATCCCCCAGTTACGTCTACCCCCTCTCCCCCCTCTGGCAACCCTCAGTTTGGTTCCTATAGTTAAGAGTCTCTTATGGTTTGTCTCCCTCTCTGGTTTCATCTTATTTCATTTTTCCCTCCCTTCCCCTATGATCCTCTGTTTTGTTTCTTCAATTCCACACATGAGTGAAATCATAATTGTCTTTCTCTGATTGACCTATTTCGCTTAGCATAATACCCTCTAGTTCCATCCATGTCGTTGTAAATGGTAAGATTTTATCTTTTTGATGGCTGAGTAATATTCCATTGTATATATATACCACATCTTCTTTATCCATTCATCTATTGATGGATATCTGGGCTCTTTCCATAGTTTGGCTATTGTGGACATTGCTGCTATAAACATTGGGGTGCAGGTACCCCTTCGGATCACTATGTTTATATCTTTTGGGTAAATACCTAGTAGTGCAATTGCTGGATCATAGGGTAGCTCTATTTTTAACTTTTTGAGGACATTCTATACTGTTTGCCAGAGTGGCTGCACCAGCTTGTATTCCCACCAGCACTATAAGAGGGCTCCCCTTTTCCTGCATCCTTGCCAACATTTGTTGTTTCCTGACTTGTTAATTTTAGCCATTCTGACTGGTGTGAGGTGGTATCTCATTATAGTTTTGATTTGTATTTCCCTGATGCCGGGTGATGTTGAGAGCATTTTTTCATGTGTCTGTTGGCCATTTATATGTCTTCTTTGGAGAAATGTCTGTTCATGTCTTCTACCTATTTCTTGACTGGATTATTCTTTGGGTGTTGAGTTTGATAAGTTCTTTATAGATTTTGGATACTAGCCCTTTATCTGATAAGACATTTGCAAATATCTTCTCCCATTCTGTAGGTTGTCTTTTGGTTTTGTTGACTATTTTCTTTGTTGTGCAAAAGCTTTTTATCTTGATGGAGTCCCAACAGTTCATTTTTGCTTTTGTTTCCCAAAATAACCCATCTTTTAATTTTTAGTGTCTGTTTTATCTTAATAGAAACTTACTTTATGTATTAGTCTATGTGAAAAAAGGTATGATTTTTAACATATTTAAATTTATTTAAATTTTAGACCATGCAGTTTGCACTTCAATCTTGGGAACTGAAATTTCACAAACTTTATTTAATGGAAGTTATTATTCAGCTCCAAATGTTATTTTTTTTTTTAATTTTTTTTTTTTTTAAGATTTTATTTATTTGCGAGAGAGAGAATGAGAGACAGCATGAGAGGGAGGAGGGTCAGAGGGAGAAGCAGACTCCCTGCTGAGCAGGGAGCCCGATGCAGGACTCGATCCCGGGACTCCGGGATCATGACCTGAGCCGAAGGCAGTTGCTTAACCAACTGAGCCACCCAGGCGCCCTCAGCTCCAAATGTTATTAACATATTTTGGAATGTGCACACTATTCTTTCCCAATATATCTGTGATCTTTTAGACTAGATAAACACAAACACAAATACTTACTACAGAAGTAGGCTGCTCTGAAAAACAGAAATGACAATTTTTAATTATTGTGGTATAAAATTAAAACATCAGCATTGTAATATACAAGTTGTACTCATGGTAACCATTAGAGTTAACAGTCTATCCTTACCTATACAAAAAATTAAATATTAGAAGCACATTAAAAAACAAGACAAGGGAAATTATATAAAGAGAAAACAGAGATTACGTATATAAAGTACTTAAAAAATCTTACCTCCTCACAGCATCGCCTGCTTACAATAGCCCTATAGTCAATTCTATCCCAGAGTTGGTCCCTTAACTTTAAGAAATTAGGGAACAATTTTCTCCAGTTTTTCCCTAAAGCCCATGGAAAAATTTCATATTTGGATTCTTCTTCATCTTCTTCAACTGTATTAGCCAGATACCTAACAAAAAAGACCAACAACTCAAAAAAGAAATGGGAAAAGGACAGGAACAGGCAGTTCATACACACACACACACACACACACACACACACACACTCACTTATAAACATAAAAGACATTCAACCTTACTCATAATTAAAGAAATGTAGGTCAAAAATAAAAATAAAAATACAATGAATTTTACCTTGTTGAGTTCTGGATAGAACTTTGTTCTGGGATGCAGTTAAGTTACTTGGAAACAGTCTGATCCTTTCAGGTCTTGCTTTTATGATTTGTTAGGTGGATCTGGAGCAATGTTCAGACTGGGGCTAATTATTCCCCACTACTGAGGCAAGACATTCCTGAGTACTCAATATCCTGTGAATTATGAGTTTTTTCAGTCTGACTGGTGGGAACAGGCACTATTTCCAGCCCTGGGTAAATGTAAGGCACTGTTCCCTCTAATCCTTTCTTATGGTTTTTCCCTACACCCAGGTAGTTTCCTTATATACATATGGGAATCCGTATCCTCTTAAATACTTGAGGGGGATCAGGCATGCACAGAAGCAGGAAAACATGACCCATAATAAAAAGAATCATCAATCAAAACTGACACATGTTAGAAATAACAGACATTAAAACAGATATATTAATTCCAGATGTTCAAAAAGATAAGAAGACACATTCAAATTGTACTTCTAGAGATGAAAATTACATATACAATGAAAAATACATAGAGTGGGATTAAGAGACTAAATATTGCAGAAGAAAAGATTTGGGCACTGAAGACCGCAATATAAACTATCCAAAATGAAACACACACAGAAAAAGAAACAAAAATAATAGAGGTGAAACTGGAGTCCCTAACGGGTGTTGGGTGCCCCCCCCAAAATATTTGAAGAAATAATGGCTGAAAATTTTTGAAATTTGATGAAAACTATAAAAATACTAATAAGCTCAATGAACCCCAAAGCACAAAATTCAAAGAAAATTACACCAATGCACATCAGAATCAAATTGTTCAGAACCAGTGATAAAGAGAAAATCTTAAAAGCAGTCAAACAAGCAAACAAACAAACAAAAAAGACAAGTTAGATAACACAGAAACAGAGATAAGGACAGAGATTTCCCAATGGAAATAATGAAAACCCCAAAGACGACTTTCCAAGAAAAATAGGCAACTTACAATAAAAAAAATTACAAAACACGTAAGAAAACAAGGCACCATAAACAGAAACTGATCCTGAAGTGTGAAGATGCTGAAATAAACAAACACCAAAGGAAAAAAGGTCTCAAAAGCAGTAAGAAAGGAAGGCAAATGATCCCAAGTGGAAGGTTTGAGATGCAAGAAGGAATAGTAAGCAAAGATGTAAGTATGTGGGTTAATCTAAACAAATATTCAGTGTATAAAACGACAATAATAATGTCTCTAAGTTTTTGGAGGGCTTCATGTAGAACTACAGAATTGTAAAACAAGAAAATGTAAGTTGAGAAGGGGGTGACTGGAGTTAAAATGCTTAAGGTTCTTGATTAAAAATAACTGGGAGAGAGCTTCCTGGTGGATGAACATGTGGAGATCAGATGTGCTGAGAGGGTACAGAAGCTCCATGCCCTTTTTCCATATCCTGCCCTATGCATCTCTTCCATCTGGCTTTTCCTGAGTTACATCCTTTTATAATAAACTGGTAATTTGTAAGTTAAAAAAAATAAGTAACTGGGATAACTGCTAAAGGAACAGATATAGACTGCATAATTTTCTAACAAGTAGAGGAAAAAAAGTATCAAAAAATAAAAATTTAAAAAATTTCGATCAGAAAGAAGATAAAAATGGAGTGGAAAGAAGAAACAGAAAAAGTGGGACATAAAGACAAGATAGTAAAAAAAAAAAATCAAATATATAAGCAACAATAGAATATTATTCTGCAGCAAAAATGAACCAGAGATACTCATATCAATATTAATGGATCTTAAAATCATAAAGCAAAAGAAGGAAGTTACAGAAGAACAGAGAACATGACTATTTTACATATAGCTTAAAAACAGGAAAAACTAAACAATGTATTATTTAGAGGTGTATACATAGAATAAAGAAAATCAAGAAAATTACTACCTATGGAAGGAAGGGGGCTCTATCTGGGAAATTGTGTACTGTGAGCTTCTAAGATTCTGGCAATGTTCTCTTCTTGAGTCATGGGTACATGAATATTTGTTTCGCTTTTTCTTTAACGCACACACATATACACACTCCATACACTCCTTTTGTAGATGTTTCACATTAGAGATTTCAAAAGGCACAGAAGTATATAGTGCACTTCTATTCAGGTGATATAGACACTGGTTCATGTAGAGAAAATTATTTCTAGACAGTTATACATGAAATGTTAGTTGTCCTTGAGAAAGAATGCTAAGATCTTGGGATATGAGGAAGACTTACTTTTAATTGTATACGTACTTATGTCCTTTAAAAAAAACTATATGCATATTCAATTTAGTTACATTAATATAGAATTAGCACCTACATATTACTTTATCCTCCCTTAAAATAACTGTACATATTTTAATATTACCTTAACATAAAGCACCTCATGGTTAAACCCATTCAGTTATAAGAGTCAAATCATGTCCTCTGTGAGATTACATAATTACATACTTTAGTAACCCTGATAGTTCTTAGTAAAAGGTAGATAGAAGCCAGAGGTTGGCCCCTTTCATGCTTATTGACTAAGTAAAACATAGAAAATCTATAATGTACTATGGTACTATGAAATCAGGACTACCTTGTGATTCTATTCTAGATTAACAATTTTTCAGGCTCAATGTGATAAAATATCTGTATTGTACACATGTAAGTTGTTTTCCAATTTGAAATAGATTTTCTAATTTGAAATAGATTTTCTTGGAGCAGAGTCCATTTTTTTGTATAATAGTTAATTATGTTTATCCAAATAAAGAATTAACATCCATATGTTAAAGGATGCAAAATAAAAGTTAGATACACATTCCTTGCCTTTAAGAAGCCTATAGTCAAGCAGAAGAGGCAATTAAGTATGAGACAAATAACTGTACAAGAGAATATGGAATCATGACAATTTAAGTTCAGAGTCTTGTAAGAGTCTATAGAAGGGAAAAGAACTTGAGTTAGAACTGTGGCTAACTGAGAAAATATTTACTGAGAACTGTTGAGTCAGGCTATATAAAAAGTACGATTAGATATAAAATGGAAATTATAATCCATGTTATTTTTAGTATGGAACTTATTATACAACATACAAAGCAACTGCACACACTCTACATATTGTACACTGACACAGTGCTTTACTGGTAAGATTACTAAGGCGTCAAACAAATCCAATTTCAGGAATCTGGTAAGAATTAAAACTAAAGCTTCTTGGTTTGTTTTTAATTTCCAGGTGGGGAAAAACTACAAAATAGATATTGTATCAACGTACAGATATAATATAATATAATACTAAAGAGACATGTAAACAGTGACTAATCACTGAATTTGGCCATTGGCATCTGAAGTCACATCTGAATTTGCACCCCAGCTCTGCTACTACGAACTTTTGTGAGATTGAGAAGTACTTATCTTCCTAAGTCTCAATTTCCCCATCTGTAAAATGAAGATAATAATGTATTTCATAGAGAAGATTCAAGGAGCTTATAAAAAATTTTTTGTGGTATCTTGCATATAACATTATTAGCTAGTTACTATTATATTCCCACAATTTAGCAATCATCACCAAATGTTATAGAGTTCATTTTTCCTCATGCATGGGGAAATATGTCTTCTGAACACAAGAAGAGATCAGTTTCTTCTAGTCCTATTCCTTGAATCACACTTTGAGTCTGAATTAAAGACTTTGAGTTAAAACTTACTCATCAGTGCTAACAGTTGTGCTATTCACCTTAAGTATTTTTATATGTAGTTCCCTAGTTAAGTCTTTAAAATTATATTCACACATTTCCAACTGCAGTATTATATCTAGGTAGTGGGTAGAAAACGTTTTGAGATTGAGATAGATTTTCTTAAACTACACTGTTTCTAGTAGAATTCTGACCTATCCAGAAAGCCATGTTATTAAAACCATTTAATAGATCACAAGGCCAGTATGAACTGTCTAATACAAAGTCAATGGAAGAATTGGAAAACAAACTATATTCCTTGGTTAAAGTTCAGTGTGTTAAGTAAAAACAGTTAAGTCATTACTAAAGGTATCAGATATGAATAACTTCTATGTTATAGACATAAATCTACAATTACTTTGCAGCGTTTTCACAAGCTGTTTAATGTAAAAGGGCAATGATGATGATTTTTTTTTTAAGATTTTATTTATTTATTTGAGAGCGAGCGAGAGAGAATGAGAGAGAGAACATGAGAGGGGGTAAGGTCAGAGGGAGAAGCAGACTCCCTGCTGAGCAGGGAGCCCAATGTGGGACTCGATCCTGGGACTCCAGGATCATGACCTGAGTCGAAGGCAGTCGCTTAACCAACTGAGCCACCCAGGCACCCAATGATGATGATTTTAACTATAAATTTACTGGAAATTTCAATGAGAATATTGAGAATATTTTGGCTTTTAAAACATATCTAAGTCCAAAAGAGGAGAATTTGGGATAATTCATATGGAGCACTCTGAAAAATGTAAAATGTATAATACAAACTTAAGTGGGATACTTAATAACAAATCTTAGGCATAGAGCAGGGTAAGATCAGTGAAAAGAACATAAAAATATCCTATTAAAGTAAAAAAGTATATCTTCTATCTATAAAGGCCTATTCAAAGATATATATCAGGTTTTAAAAAGCCTCTGTTTTATTTTTTTATGAGTTACAATGTTAACTTTATTTACTTATTTCTTTAAGTAGGCTCTATGCCCAATGTGGTACCCAAACTTACAACCCAGAGATCAAGAGTCGCATGCTCTACCAACCAAGCCAGCCAGGTGCCCTGAAATAGCCTGTTTTAAATAAGGTGTCATGTATATTACAAATAAGAATCACAAAAATCACTTAGTAGAAAGCATACTTACAGAGCAATAAAGAAATTTATCCTGGTATGCTCATTTATAGTAAATTTAGCTCTCTTGAAATAAACAAAGGTCATAGCCAAAAGATACTATAGGGAAAAAAGTAAAAGTTAATATTAATGTTTCGCTTTCAAAAGTAAAACAGCTTTAAAATAGTTATCTTTGAGATGAATAATAAGCTAAAAACAATAAAGCATTACTTATCTTTATTACAGAATTACCTATTTATTTGGGTCCTTACTTTTTGGCTTCCTGTAATCCATGTGAATGGTGAGAAATAGTTCTGAGCCATTTATCATGATTAAGATAAATAATAAAATAAATTTTATTATTGCCAATATAGTTTGAACCAAAATCCAATTTTTCTACCTTAAATTTCAAATCCATAGAGAAGTTGAAATAATAATAAAACAAATAACCATACATCCTTCACATAGATTCACCAATTGTTAGCATGTTGCCACATTGGCTTGATGCATGTATCTATACAAAAATTTTTTCCTGACTCCTTAATTGTAGACATCCATACTCACTTTTTATTTATTGACTGACTGACTGAATGATCAGTCAGGGTGGCATTGCTGATCGAATTTTTAAATTGAGGTATAACTGACAAAGTTGTATATATTTAAAGTTTACAATGTGATGATTTGATGTACATTGTGAAATGAATACCAAAATAGAGTTAATCAACACATCCATCATCTCACATATTATCTTTTTCTTTCCTTTTTGTTAAGAACACTTGGGATCTACTTGCTTAGCAATTTCATATACTTACTTTTTAAAATAACCTTTTAAAAATAACTTCTAACCAGAAATTAGACTATATGACTATTTTCATTGGAAAACAGTGTTTTAAATGTGTTATTAGAAGGAAGTATCTAGCCTGGTATTAGGATACTATGCCAGGTCCTATCTGTCCAAATTAAAAACAACTTATAGTACTGATGTATTAGATTCCCTCTCATAAAATGCCTATTTATCCTATTCTTCATAGGATTGACTACAAAGGTGACTCCAAGTTTTCAAGGTAACTTTCAGTAGAGAACTCTTGAAATAGTGTTAAGATATGGTATGCTGGTTAGTTACTTTAAAAACACTGCCCCCTGCTGTCCAGCAATTTTAATTCCTGTAATGCACTTAAAAGTTTAAAACTATGCACACAGATATTTTATATGAAGGCATTACTGTTAATTTTTTAAAATATTAGTGACTTTGTGAATATGTTTAAAAAGATTTCATCTTTTAGAAATACATCATCTTAAAAAATTTATGGATAAAGTATTAGGATGTCTGAGATTTGCTTCAAAATAATCTAGTTTGGGGAAGAAGGATTAGAAGAAACAAGCAGAGCCATGAGCTGATGATTATAGTAGCTACATGTTAGGCACATGGAGGGTCTTTGTTCTATTTTCTCTACCTCAAGGTATATATATTTGAAATTTTCCAGAATTAAATTTCCAAAATTAGAAATTAAAAAAACCAAACTCTAACTTTATCTTTGTTACCTTAAGCTTGAAATAAAAAAGTTCATATCAATTTTAACTTAATAAGTATTTAGTCATAAGCTAGTCTTCCATTCATCCCTTTCCCATTGGTTGGCACATTAAAATTAAGTGTAATGTGAAGTCATGCTGAATTTTCTGATATGTCTACCTGGTCTAAGATGGCATTTACAAAAAGCTAAAATCATAACTGTTCAGCTAAATCTAAAGAGTATAGAAATATCATGGTCCCTAGTATGTAAGCACCATGATGATCTTTTATGAAACACTGATTCTTAAATAAAGAACATAATAAACTAATTTTACTCTACAAAATTATTGGGATTTGTTTATCTAAGTTACCTACAAAATATTAAAATGTATAACAGACTTCCTTAGTGGAATGAATGTCAGAATATTCAGAATATTCTTTCTCCACAGCCTGATAAAAGGTAATAATTCTGATCAAAACATTAAGTCTATACTGATTCTTGCTTTCAATCAAACAAATATGGACTTAAGGCCATTTAAATCTAATCAATAATATTCTATAGTTCCTCAAGTATAAAGTGAATCTCTGATGTATGCTAATTTCAAAAATTAATGTGTAAGGATTTCACTTTGAAGAAGCAATGCAGGCTAGTTCTTTTCCTAACCTTAATTAATATGATTGAAAATTCTTATAAGGTTTTTTAAAGTTCTGATGGTCTAGTAACATAATAATGCAGTTACTGATTACACTCTTACCAAATTTACCTTGTCTGCAATTTTACAGCAGCAGTCCATCCACAAGAAATCTTGAATTAAATCGTCATCTACAACAAAAGATAGCTATGACTTGTCTTTTAAAAACAGAATGTTTCCTTTTGAAGAATTAACTTCTAGATAGAGGATTATAAATGATGCTTAGAAAGCAAACAAAAATGGCTGGACCAGTGTTGTCTAAAATGTAGTCTGCATTTCTTTGGTATATTTACCATTGCAAGCACTGTACAAAAAGCTACTGCTTTACTTTGGGTTTCCCATCTGATTTGCTCAGACTGGAGCACAAGTGTTAGAAGTGTTTGGTTTCTTGACTATCCCAACAGTTCTTTGAGAAAGATGTCTTGGGTAACTCTAGAACAGCTCTTTATTACTTTCCAAAATCAATCTTTACTAGTGGAAATGGAATCTGATAAAAAATAACTCAGTCTTTAGTAAATAATGACTTAATGAATATTACTTGTTTTCTAAATATGTTTTACTCTTTCTACTACTTTCCCCTGTTAGATCCCAGGGTATTTTTAGTTTTGAATTCTTCTTTTCATCTCCTATTTATCTCTGTCCAATTATCTATTATCCAAATACCAATGAAAATGTCTAAATAAAGAAGATTCATAATTTATTAGCTATTTATAATTAATATTTAATTTTGGAAAAACAGTATTATGACAAAGGATCCACAAAAATACTTTTAAAAATATGCAAAAAGTAGGTCAAAAACACTTACTCAATTTTAAAAGGCTAAAATATATAATCCCCAAATATTTGAGTAGTTGTCAGAATATACTGAGAAAATCTGCTTTTTCCCATTCCCCCCTTCATTTTAAGTTAAATAACAAACAAAACATAACTTCTTTATACTAATTTTTACATCCTAGAAATATCAATATAGTCAAATATACGGTAAGTTCCAAGAGTAAGTACTCATTTTCTTAGACTAATTAATTTCTGCCTTAATTCCATTTTTTTTAAAGTAAACTCTACGCCCAATATGGGGCTCTAACTCGCAACCCCAAGATCAAGAGTGAGTCGCATGCTCTACTGACTGACCCAGCTATTTCTTAAATCACTTATGGTAGAGCCAGGTATTTTCTCTTACTTCTCATGATCAGTTACGAATAATAAAAACATTTGTGCATAATAGTCTTGCACTAGTCTTAAAGAGAAAGGGACACTTATATTAACAGCATTCTAGATCCTGACAGGGAACGTCCTGGTAGTTCAACATTTTTCTACTTACGTTACATTTTTTCTTCTTCTTCTTTTTTTTTTTTTAAAGATTTTTTAAATTTATTTATTTGAGAGAGAGAATGAGAGAGAGAGCACATGAGAGGGGGGAGGGTCAGAGGGAGAAGCAGACTCCCCGCCGAGCAGGGAGCCCGATGCGGGACTCGATCCAGGGACTCGATCCAGGGACTCCAGGATCATGACCTGAGCCGAAGGCAGTCGCTTAACCTGAGCCACCCAGGCGCCCCTACATTTTTTCTTCTTTATCTCATCTTCTTTTTTGCTTTTCTTTAAATCTTAACCAGCTTGCCCTCCTTTTTTCTCCCTCCCTCCCTCCCTCTCTCTTTCTTAAGATTTTTGTCTTCTGAGTAGGGCAAACACTCTTGTCCCCAACTCTCTTATACACGGGACACTTCTGCCTGTCACCTGGATCTAACAGACTATGGTATCTACTTGACTTGGTTCATTCCTACAGATATTTACCAGATTCATCTATCCTACTCTTTAATCTGTTTACCTTACTACCTTACCTTAAAAAAAAAAAAAGAATCTTCCCTTTCTTGGCTAATAGAAGTAATATAAAGAAGTTTCTTTTTTAAGAACTTTGTCAGCAAAGTAGCATTATCTTGTGATCTGAATAAATTTAAACCCAATTTCATTATATGAGCATGATGATAAAACATAATTTTAAACAATATTCCCCCCTATGTGCAGTGCCTGGCTGGCTCAGTTGGAAGAGCATGCAACTCTTGATCTCAGGGTATGAGTTCGAGCCCCACGTTGGGTGAAGAAATTACTTAAATAAAAATAAAATATTAAAAAAATATATCCCCCATATGTAATACTGAAACTTATCGAGGTTGACCAATCTTCCCACTTTGCTCAGTTTTAGCACTGAAAATCCTGGGAAACACCTCAGGCCTAGTCAAACTGGGTCAATTGGCTCATCTGAGACTTTATGTAGTTATTTTACTTAGGTCACCCAAAACTCATGATATGAACTTGAATTGCCCAGAATTCACATTTGACACTTGGATTTAAGTAGTCCAGAAGCTAGATGAGTCTGAATTTCTAAACCAAAAGCAATCCAAAATAAAAAATCCAACATTAAAACAAAAACAACCTAAGTAAAGCAAAAACAAATTTTCTGAGACAGAAAATCTGACATAGAAAATAACAACATCCTCTTTGATTATTATGAAAACAATAAAGTAGATCTTTAGATTCTCTCATTTTTAAGTACTTTACAATTACCGCTATTAAAATATTTTAAACCTACCAAATAATTTAAAGAAAGCAGTCATTTCCTGACGCTGTATAACTAGACAGGGTCCTTTGGGGCGTTTAGACTTGTTGCTATTATGTGCATTTTTTTCAGATGCTGGCCAATTATCTTTAAAAATAGGACGCTTCAGATTAATGGGTTTTTTAGGCTGATGTGATCTATTTGACCCTGATTTTACATGAACAGTGACAGTAGGTGGTGTCTCACAACACAGCTGATTATGTCTCATTTTGGTTTCCCAAGATTCCTGTAAAAATAAAACATATAATTATTTACCACACTCGTGTTCATTTCTATATAAAAACAGCTAATCAGATGACATTACCAGATGCATTCACATAAAATGTTACTGAACTTGCTACTAAAATGTTATTTGTGATAGTGACCCACAGAAGAAATTGCTTTTAGAATTCAGTGCTAAGAAATGCTATGCTTTCTTTGGGTAACTGATATACCTTCTCTTCCCAATAATAAGATCCTGTATACCATTTTGCTTTGATGACTAGGGATCCCAAAACCAAATTTGGAAGTTAATTATAGGAACTATGCTGAGTCTATAATCTATTTGTGGTATTTTTTCCTAGTATTTTAAAATTCTGCTTCTATTGACATAATTTTGTCATATGGTTATTATATGCCACTTCAAATTTTTTATAGAACAAGGCAAACTATTTCCAGAACTAAATTATTATCATACCAAGTGTTATACTGAAAACAGTGCCCCCCCACACACAAAATATTTTCTTACTGGTTAATTCCTTGATATGTTACACAATTCACTTATTCAACAAGCATTTACTGGTATTTACTGAAAAGTTAAAAACACTTCCAGCAAAGAAATGTAGGGTATATGTGCTTTGAGGGAGTCTCATAAATTTTTCATTCTAATTTTTAATTATTTGAGTGACTGATTATAAGTGTACATGAATGTACAGTGTTATAATCCAATAAAATTAGAAACAAAGTTAATTCATCAGTATTTAACAATATGCATAACCACTACTATGTTTGGTGGTAATCAGTTCACATAATTACTACAGTTAGTATTACTTTTGTGGTCAAAGTATTTATAGGATAGGAAATGGAGGTAAGCATAGGCAAAGTAGGAAACTACTCTAAGACCCTAATGAGAACCTCTAAATCCATAACTCACAGTGACCCAGGCGGCCATGCCTCCCTTGGTGTTCAAGGAGTTAGGTACAGATTCTCCTTCCTGACCCACAGAAACTTCCCTGCTGAAGGAAGGAATGGAAAGTAAGATTGGATATAGTAGGGCTAGATCAGCAATGTCCAATATAATGTGAGTCACATATGTAGTTTTATATTTTTAAAGCTGTATTACAGAAGTACAAATAAGAAAATGACCTGAATTTTAGTAATATATTTTATGTAATCTAGTATATCTAAAATATCATTTTAACATGTAATCAATATAAAAATGAGATATTTTACATACTTTATTTTTCAAACTAAGTCTTTGAAATCTGGTGTGTGTATTTACACTTACAGTATATCTCAATTCAGTTGCTAAATTTCCAACAGTTAGAGTGAAATGTAGTCCTACCAAAACAATAGTGTGTAAGTAAAAAATATTTTACACTCCTTCAGTACTTAAAGTAAATAAAAGTAAAAACTCTTCAGTTGCACCATCCACATTTTAACTGCTCAACAGCCACATATAGCTAGTAGCTACATAGTAGACAGCAGAGGGCTAGATAATGAAGAACTAGGCAGAGGAAATTATACTCAATTGATTCTATAATTGCTTCTTCTCCCTCTGTTTCACTTTCCTCCCCTCACCTCATCTTTCTTCTTAGATCCTAAGGTCCAACCAAATTGAAGGCAATTATGGAGTTGGGGTTGGGGGTGCTACAAACTCCAAAGAAAAAGGAATGGGTGATAAATTGAACCTTGAGACTTGCCTAAGAACTTTCTGCTCTTTCCCACCCACCTCATCTGGGAGACGGCTGGAGGTCTCATCAGCATCTTTTTTTTTTTTTTTAAGTAAGAGCAGCCTTTCAACTAGATGGAAAAAATTAGTCAGGCTTTTCAAACTGGGGTGAAGGGGCTAGGCAGGCTTGGGGGTGTAATGTACCAGAATATAGAATAACTATGGTATATCTCCCAGGAGGTAAGTTTTACTCAATGTTAAGTAAATAACTTAAAATAGTGTTATTATATTAGGACAACCATGGATATATTGTGAAATAGAATGCAAATACTGTCAACCGAATAAATATGTTCACAGTATAGCTTTACACTATTCCACTAAACCCTTATGTTTGTGTTGGGATACTTCAAATAAAATTTGAGGAAATAGAGAAAGAACTGTGTGAAATTCCCCAAATAGAGATTCACTGAAGTTAATCAGCAAACACTGGCAGGAAAGTTATGGAGGAACCTAAGGAGAGAAGCTATCAATGGTACATTCTTGGTCAAATTCCACCTTGAGATAGTTTTAAATTTTGCTCTTTATTTAGAAATACTGAGAGAATAGAGTTCTCATGGCAAGCAAGAGGAAAAGAATGCAAGGCAAATAAAAATATGAGCCATTTCAGCGGGCATCTGGGTGGTTCAGTCAGTTAAGTGTCTGCCTTTGGCTCAAGTCATGATCCCAGGGTCCTGGAATCAGGCTGTGTCAGGCTCCTTGCTCAGCAGGAAGCCTGCTTCTCCCTCTCCCTCTGCCACCACCCCCCCCACTTGTGCTCTCTCTCATGTGCTCTCTCAAATAAATAAATAAAAGCTTTTTAAAAAATATGAGCCATTTCAGAAAAAGGTAAGAGACAGGAAGAAGGGGGAGCTAGGAGAAACTATGCTCATATGGCAAAACCATTTAATGAGTTTTTACACAGACTCCACCAACATGAAAAAAAATCATACCAGAATTCACACTTGAATAGGATGTCTGGGATTTTTTTTTTTAAATAGACCACAGCTAATCTATAAGCAACTGAAATAATTTCTTTTCTCTGGGGGTAATATAAGAGTGTTAGGGGTGCTGGTTCATAGAATCATACAATAGAAGTAGGATTTGGGGGTAATATAAAGAGTGTTAGGGGTGGTAGTTCACAGAATCATACAACAGAAGTAGTATTTGGGGACTGGTGTGCCTATATGAAAAATCTAATAGCAATATCCAAAGGCAATTCAGGGCAGGCAGGGAAAACTTAACTTCCCTATAATTATAGTCTCACACTAAGCACTTAATATGTGCCAGACAATGTGCTAAAAGTTTTACATGCATTTTCTCACTTAATCCTCAGGACATTTCTATAAAATGGGCATTATTTTATCCTTATTTTCTAGATGAGAAATTTGAGGCTCAGGGAAGAAGAAATTTGCCCACGGACACATAATTAGTGAGTGATAAAGCTAGGACTTGAATCTGGGGCTGTTTGACACCAAAGTCCCATATACTTTAACCACTAAAACACTGTTCTAAAAATTAAATGAAGTCATGTGTAAAACACTTGACACATGGTAAGTAATATTTTACTCACTGTCATCTTGCCAGGAAAACAAAGCCAGCTTATGAGCTTTCGCTTTATAAAAATTTAAGTCTAGCATTTGCATTGTAAATGTGCATATTACATTGTGACCTACATTGTTAAATAAGCCATTGCTTTAGGGAAGAAAGATGGGCTTCTCACCTTTTTGCTAAAATAAAATAATTCTTAAAAATAATCCTTATTGAAATGACCATAACATTTTTCTTTATCATAACCACAAAATTTAAATTGTTAAAAAACAACACAGCAAATTGAGGAAAAATATTCTGGCAAAATTGCTGGAAGCTTTGCAGGGGCTATTATCAAATCTCCATTATTTTGATGTTTTAAATATTTTCTCTAATTTAATTTATCATCTAATGGTTATAGAATACTTTTAGACTCGGCCGAGTGCTAGGTGCTACAGTACTAGTAAAATTACACAGCATAGCTGTTTCAATAAGAAGTTCATATCTGATAAGAAATCCAACCCATTAGCGAATAAACCAAGACCCTTCGATGAAGTGGTGGGAATAAATGGAAACTAGATTGAATAGAATTATAGGAGTGATTACAAAAGGGAGTGTTACAAAAGGAAGTGCAGGAGGTGTGAACATACACCCTCCTTTTTCTAAATGTGGCAATCATGAGAAGGAAGAAAATGAAAAGCAGCTGGAAGGGACAATAGTCAACGGAGAATTTGTTTTTCTTTTTAAAGACAGGATTCTTAAGTTTGCCTGAAGGCAGAAAGGAAGGAGGAGCCAGTTGAGAGTATATGTTAAAATACTGGAGAACAGACCCTTATTAAGACCTGATTCTGTTTAGCTAATGTGACCTTAGGCTATTCAACTCCTGGGAACACCCATTTGCTCACTAATGATATTAAGATAATAGAAACACCGGTTTTCTTAGAACCTGGTACATATTAGTATCCAATAAAAATTAATTATTAGATATTGTTAATAATACATATTTAGTAGGTTAACGAGCAAATGAACTATATGCATAATGCCTAGCACAGTGCTGAATCCTTCACAAAAACTCGAAATACAGCAGCACTATTATTGTATCTTTTTTACAGGTAAGGGTATCTTTCAAGGAAAGAAGAGTCGGATATGACAGCCACATTTCATCTCCACTAATAAATATAATTTAAATGTTAAAATTTTATTGGTAACAGAGATCATAGGTATTTTAAAATGTGCTTTTGCTAGAGAATAAAATTTGTTAACAGGCAGGATCTCAATTTTAACATAGCGTGGGTTTTTCGGTCTTTAAGTGTTCAATTACTTCACAAGTTTCTTTTCTTTTCTTTTTTTTTTAAAGATTTTATTTATTTATTCATGAGAGACAGAGAGAGAGAGAGGCAGAGGGAGAAGCAGGCTCCTGATGTGGGGCTCGATCCCAGGACTCTGGGATCATGACCTGAGCCGAAGGCAGACGCTTAACCATCTGAGCCACCCAGGCGCCCCGCAAGTTTCTTTTCTAAAAATTGAACCTAGCTGGCCTGCAGCCGTGCTGGACATGTAAGGAAAGGGCACCGGGAAACTGTAGGAGAAGGGCTCAGGGCAGAGCACTGAGATGCAGCAGCTCAGACCCGCGACTCCGGTGCCGTCGCGCCTGGGGACGAAGACGTGATGAAGGCGACCCAGGGAGAAGGGGCGGACTCACTCAAAATAGCACTGGCTCACCCGGAGGATAACGGCGGGCCGGGACCGCCCCCCCAACCCCCCGTCCTCGCCTCTGGCCGGCGCGCGAGGGGAGCCCGCCAGCGACAAGCCGTCCAGGCCCGCGGCGGGAGGTCACCGCCCGGCACGTGGGAGCGCGTCGTCCCTCCGTGGTCCCTGGTCCACAGTCCGCCCCGCGGGCTAAGGCGCGAGGGCGCCGCGCCCGCGAAGCCCCCACAGAGCGACGGAGGGGGCTGCGCCGGCCCGCCAACGCCACCGCGCTCCGCCGCTTCCCCCGGCCGCCGACTCCGACCTCGACAACCCCGCCCCTCTCCCGAGCCCAGGCCCCGGACGCTGGGAGGGCTTGCTCCCGTCGCGGCGAGGGAGCCACTCACGGGCGGAAGCGTGTAGGAAAGGGGCCGTGACGCCGCCCCATCCTCACACGCGGTGGGCGGCGGGGCCCGCTGCGAGAGGTATGGAAGGACCAGGCGCAGCTGCAACTGGAGGGTGGCCGGCGAGGCCCGAAGCCGGGGCGCGAGCGGAAGATACCTGCGAAAACCTGGGTCTAGGGAGCGGGCGCCGGGCCGCCGGACAGCCGCCCCCGGACGCTCCGAGGCCTCAGACGGTTGCTCACCACTCGCTCCACAGCGGCACTACCCGCTCAAGAGACCTCCCGCCAACCGGGAGCGACGCTCGCGCGGGCCAATCAGCGCACAAAGCCGCCGCCGGGGGGCGGGGCCTGCCCGAGGTCGCGCGCGCCGCGACCCCAGTCCCGGCTCGAGCGCTCCGGCTTCCGCGCGCCGGCTGCGTGCGGAACACCTGAACCTACCTGGGCTTGCGGACCCTCCGGGCCGGGTGCTGGCAGAACGCCACCACCCTCCCAGATCTCTTCTGGCCTCCTAATTTAGCCCCTCCCCCGTGGACGCTTATCAAAGCCAGGCTTGTATTCGAGCCATTTACCTTCCCTCCGGTTAGATGGAGAGGCCCTGCGGGGCTGGGACTTCAGGTCTTCCCTAACTCCCTTCTACCTCACAGCACCAAGCAGGACGCCTTGCACACACGCACTAGCAGATACTTGATAAAGACAGGCGTCAATAGTAGGACGGAGAATCAGAAGTGAACTTTGCAGCAGCCATTGTAGTGCCCACAGTTTCTGCTATGTTAAATAACTATATAGACAGAGGAAGAGACCACATAAACTAAAAAAGAAAGGTGTGACTACCGTGGCAGAGGTTATGTTACACTGTTCCGTTAAATCTACTGTTCTAAGCTGTAAATTCTTCTACAGGAACCTTTTCATTTTGGACTCATCGTAGCCCTTGGCCAGGTGCCTGGGATGTAATTGATGCTTAGTAAACGCTTGTTCTCATTCTACTTTCTAAATATATCTCCCCACTATTATCCATTGATTCTTTACTCCAGGCTTACATACTTTTTCTCAGAGAAGGTCTTAAACTTTCTTCTTTGAGCTGGCATATAATGTGCTCTCTCTTTTTCACCTTCATTTAAATTTTCCATCTGATATCCATCCTTTAAGACCCAATTTTTTTTTTTTTTTAGATTTTATTTATTTATTTGAGACAGAGAGAATGAGAGACAGAGAGCATGAGAAGGAGGAGGGTCAGAGGGAGAAGCAGACTCCCTGCCGAGCAGGGAGCCCGATGCGGGACTCGATCCAGGGACTCCAGGATCATGACCTGAGCCGAAGGCAGTCGCTTAACCAACTGAGCCACCCAGGCGCCCCCTTTAAGACCCAATTTAAGTCATCAGCCCATCTGAGTACTTAGTAAGTTTAAGACTGCGCCGTTCTTGAATTCCTGCAGCACTTTCAAAAGTTCTGATTTTTGCAATCTTATTAACCAGCTTTTTGATAAAATTATTTTATTATGTGTACATATAGATACAATTTTACATAAATGGCGTTGCATACGTACTTTAAAAAATGGAATGTTTGAGGGACGCCTGGGTGGCTAAGTCAGTGGAACATCTGCCTTCGGCTCCGGTTATGATCCCGGGATCCTGGGATGGAGTCCCGTGTCGGGCTCCTTGCTCAGCAGAAAGCCTGCTTCTCCCTCTGCCTGCTACTCCCCCTACTTGTGCTTGCTCTGACAAATAAATAAAAAAATAAAATCTTAAAAAAAAAAAAGGAATGTTTGATAGGTACAAAAGAATATATATAGTAACATACATGCAGGCAGCAGAGCATAATAAAACAAAAACTCGAGAAGCCACTACCCACCAAAAAAGGATGAATCTTAACACCCAAGAAATAGAACATAAACAATACTGATAAGATCCTGTATGTTTCTCCTCCTCCCCTTACTTTCCCTGAAGAGGTGACTTTGGTTTTTCCCATTCCCTTAAGATTTACTGTACCTTTAAACACAGATTTTGGGGCACCTGGGTGGCTCAGTCGTTAAGCATCTGCCTTCGGCTCAGGTCATGATCCCAGGGTCCTGGGATTGAGTCCCACATGGGGCTCCCTCCTTGGGGGGAAGCCTGCCTCTCCCTCTCCTACTCCCACTGCTTGTGTTCCTGCTCTCCCTATCTCTGTCAAATAAAATCTTTAAAAATAAATAAACACAGATTTTGTAAATTTAATACTTTGTATTCTTCATAGTTTGAGATTTTAACATGCTAACACAGAACATTGTAAATCATTTTTATTGTTGTATAGAATTCTGTTCTATATATATACTGTAATTATCACCATGCTCTTGTCAATGGCCATTTGGGTCATTTTTTGCTACTCTGAAAGCTATGAGCCTTCTTGTTACACAGACTTGGTTATCAGTGGCTGTGCTTCTGTAAGACTATATTAGTTAGTTATAGCTGGCACAGATTAGTTGGGTGGTCTGATTGGTTGGTGCCCATGTTAAATATTCAACTACTACTGCTTGTATATGCCCCATGGTGCATGCGTGTAGTTTTCCTATAAATGCTTTAAAGGGAAAATGATGGGTTTTAGGGTATGCAATTTACAAGATTACAAATGCTATTCTCACATCCCAGGTAGCTGTACACATTTTATTATTTTATTTATAAGTAATCTATATGCCCAATGTAAGGCTCAAATTCCCGACCCTGACTGAGATCAAGAGTCATATGCTCTACCAACTGAGCCAGCAGGAGCCTCTAGTTGTACCAATTTTAAGAGCTCCCATTAGTCTACATCTTGCCAACTTTGTATTTTCAGACTTTTTGTGACTAGATTATCTTTTATTAAAGTATGTCATAGAGAACACCTTTGGATTTTTTTTTCAGCACCCTTTTTTTTGGAAATATTCTACTCAACCTCCCAAACCACTTGGGTGCAAGGATAGCAGCTATATTCATACAATATCATTTCTCTTCTTCACTTGTTGGGAGTCATAAAGGCCTTTCATCCAAGCTGGGCCAAATTCTATTCCTGGAATTTTGCACTAGGACCCAGAATTCAGTGTGGCTGACTACTTTCTTATATTGGAAGCAACAAAAACTCCTGAGAATTATCAGGATGGAACAATAAAACAAAAGGATTGCATTAAATTTCTCTCTAGAATACTTTTCTTCACTGTACCTCGTTTTTTTGTTCCTTACTGAAAATATCTTTTCCCATACTTGCTTCTGCCTATGACATAATCCTTATTTGTTAAATCGAGGCAATAGTTTCTCCACTTTCAAGTTTAGATTCCTAATTTTAAGTGTTCATAAATACTAGGTGACTTTTGAAAGACAAAATGTTACACTATACCACTTTTCTAAAAATGTTTGAAGTAGTTCACAACGAAGGTGACTTTAAGGTCAATTAAACAGAGAACCTAGACTACAGAAAGGGGGAGGGGCAAGAAAGGAACCATGAAGATCTTGGCAAGTTTGATTGTGAACAAGAGGCCATTTCCCCCAATATGCCTGTCAGGTGCTAGCTGGGAAATGTTGCTTCAAGTAACTAGATACAACTCATATTTTTAAAATTAATTATTATTTTTGAGAGAGAGAGCATGTGAGTTGTGAGGAGGGGAAGACGGTGAGGGAGAGAATCTTAAGCAGGCTCCACGTTCAGTGCAGAGCCCGACATGGGGCTCAATCTCACGACCCTGAGATCATGACCTGAGCTGAAATCAAATTGGACACCCAACTAACTGAACCACCCAGGCGCCCCACAACTTCTCATATTTACCAATATTTTACCAAATGAAGATTATAGTTTTGACAATACACTGAGGATAAATGAAAATTGGAACTGTATTTTTTTGGACTATGTTCTCCAAAAGGTCAAGGTGTCAAAACGGTAAGTTTTGAAACTCACTTGCATTCATTAAAAAAAAAAACATCTGCATGCCTACTATATGCCAGGCAGCACTCTAGAAGCTAGAGATACACCAGTGGGAAAAAAAAAGACAAAAATCTTTGCCCATACGAGCTTACATTCTAGTCACAAATAAACTGAGAAGCCCAAAGGCTTCTAAGGGCCAAATACAACAAAGTCTTGGAGGAATGCCCAACATACTAATCAATCTGTACAATGAATAATTGATTTTCTTTAAATAATGGAATAGACCATAGTTTCTGTTAATCTGTCAATGAGCACACCCAAAGAGTTTAGGGAACTCAGCTAATGAAAGATTTAGGTACCTCATTCAGAACAGGTGTCACAGTACAGTAACAGAAAGTTTTAACCTAGATCTGTGATATTATCAAATTAACCTCAATGGAGTTACCAGGCCCCAGCCTTTATCTCTTTATTTGACAGAGAGATAGGAGAACACAAGTAGGCAGAGCGGCAGGCAGAGGGAGAGGGAGAAGCAGGCTCTCCGCTTCTGCATGCCTACTATCGAGCAGGAAGCCCGATGTGGGACTCGATCCCAGGACCCTGGGATCATGACTGGAGCCGAAGGCAGACACTTAACTGACTGAGCCACCCAGGTACCTCAGGACTTGTTTTTAAAACTCCTTTCTTTAGTTAGATACTATACAACAGTTACATGTTGAAAGTTGGGTACTGGGCTTCACACATTTTTTCTGAGATAATAACGTAGGTTATTAATTTTAATTTGGCAAATTGAGTAGTTTCATGAGTTCTACCAAAAAATGATTTCTCAAGTGACTCCACCCCTCACACCTGCCTGAGAGCTAGAGAGACCTGAATGAGAAAGTAAATTACAGTGACAAAGAAGTTTATAAGTCAACCAATGTAGGAGGTGGTGGCTGAGGAAGTTTTAACTTTTATAATTTTCTAATTATGGAATTGTTTAGAAATTCTGGAATTCAAATGTACAGGTAAAATCCAATTTTAACAGATCAAAATTATTACACTGAATCTAAATTTCACTTTTGTTGAACAGTTTAAAGAGAATAAAGAGAATAAAGCTCTATGTGTGTACTTAACACAGAATCAGTTTATGCCTTATTTAACTCCTGTTCATTTCACAAGGTATGCTGTCACTTTAAAATCCCTTTAACCACTTCTTAGCTGTTTAAGGAAATTATAAAACACTGAAAACTATTAGCAAAAAAGGACATAGTATTTCTAAGTGGATGCCACTGGTATAGTCAGGCTATTTAGTGTCTTCTCAGGCACAGCTTTGATTCAGAGATGGATCATAAGGAAATGAGGAGGTGGATTAAGTCAATGTACATAGAGCAGAGCAAACCTGACCACTTTTCTTCTCTAAACACATTTTTAGTATATAGATGTGAAAGAAAATAATTGTTCTTTTGGTTCAAGAGTTATGGTTGCCAAGGAGACAAAGGAACGAACATACCTGAACTTACAAATGAAGATACTATTTCAGTCCCTTGGCTCAATGAATACACTTTTATGTTCTTAAGGGACACATCTCAAGATGTTCCTGGCTTTCCCTCAGATGAATTTTTTTTGAAAGGCATATATATCCCTTGAACACTTTTTTTTATATATATATATATATGTATTTTTAAAGATTTTATTTATTTATTTGACAGAGAGATAGAAGAGCACAAGCAGAGGGAATGGCAGAGAGAGAAGGAGAAGCAGGTTCTGCACTGAGCAGGGAGCCCAATGCGGGACTCGATCCCAGGACCCCGGGATCATGACCTGAGCCGAAGGCAGACGCTTAACCATCTGAGCCACCCAGGTGCCCTCCCTTGAACACTCTTAACACTTCCAATTAACTGACCACGTTTTAAAGCTTTAAATTCTTCTTGCTGGTATTCTGACTCAACATTTTGCACAAACCAGTCTTGATGATCATGATTAAATTTGTCCCTGGGCAAAATTAAAACGATGAATGTTAAAGTTTCAAACACAAGGGGTAGTACACATTGTAGTTGTTTTTTTTCATTTAGGAACTAACAAAAATGTAACCTAATAATCTGTGATCCATCACATTAGCATGTTTAATTTTAAATGCCATGACATTTGGATTAAAGATAAATTTGAATATAGAAATTAAAAATCAGAGAGAAAGAATGATATAAATTAGTGACACTGGAATCACAGGATATTTTTCTCCTAAGAAATGAAGTTTTATTTATTTGAAGTAGCAGTGTTACCAACTAAGTAATATTTGTAACACATTATATAATAGAAACTTTTAAAGTGGTTTTAAGACTGCCTGAGTAATTTTTATTTATTATTATTTTTAAAGATTTTATTTATTCATTTGAGACACAGAGATAGAGAGAGCATGAGCCGGCGGAGAGGCAGAGGGAGAAGGAGAAGCAGGCTTCCCGCTGAGCCAGGAGCCCGATGTGGGGCTCGATCCCAGGACCCCGGGATCAGGACCCGAGCCAAAGGCAGAGGGTTACCCATCTGAGCTACCCAGGTGCCCCTATTACTATTTTTTAGTAATCTCTATACCCAATGTGGGGCTCAAATTCACAACCTTGAGGATCGAGAGTCATAATGCTCCTCCGAATGAGCCAGCCAGGAGCCCCGTTGCTTGAATAATTTTTAAACATAAA